ACTAGGAGAAACACTCCCTTCTCCCCAGGAGAGGGAATCCTTTTGTCTTAGCTTGGACTGCTAGAGCAAAATACCACAGATCAGGGGGCTTAAAAACAGAAGTTGATTTTCTCACAGTTCTGGAAACTAGAATTCCAGGATCGAAGTCCAGGAAGACTGGTTTCTGGTAAGGCCTCTCTTCCCAACTTGCAGAGGGCTGCTTTCGTTGTGCGGGTGCACATGGCGGGGGGAGGAAGAGAGCCACCTCCCTCCCCAGTGCCTCTTCTTCTAAGCACACTAATCCTATCAGATCAGGGCCCCACCCTTGTGACCTCACTCAACCTTAATTACCACTATCTCCAAATACAGTCACATTGAGGGTTAGCGACCCGACATACGAGCTTGGGCGATGGGGACACTTTTCCATCTGTAGCACTCTCCTTCCTCAGGACTCCAACCACACCACAGACATAACTGAATTGTAGCCTGTATTATGTTGTGTTTTTAAGTACTGTTTATTTTTCTGATTATGAAAGTAACACATGCTCAGAATTACAAGTGAAAAATGAAGAAAAAAATCATAAACCTACAACCTAGAACTAACATTATTAATATGTCAGGACTTTTTTTGGTCTTTATATATTATATATATATATTTATATATATATATATATATTCATACATATTTTTTACACAATGGGGGTCCAACAATATTTTTTTTGGTAACAGCTTTCTTGAGATATAATTTGCATACCATACAGTTTGCCCATTTAAAGTATATATTAAAATCCAATGATTTTTAATACAGTCTCAGAGTTGTGCAAATATCAACACAATCAATTTTATAACATTTTTATTACTCCAAAAGAAACTCATACCCTTTAGCTATCAATCTCCAGTCCCTCCCATCTCCCCAGCCCTAGGTAACCTCTAATCTACTTTCTTTCTCTAGATTTGCCAATTCTGGACATTTTGCATAAACAGAATCATACAATATGTGGTCTTTTGTGACTGACTCTTTTCACTTAGTATGTTTTCAAGCTTCATCCATGTTGTAGCATGATACACTCCTCCTGATACATGATACATTCTGAAATACAATTCACATACTGTACAATTCACCTAAAGTATGCAATTCAATTACTTTTAATATATTCACAGTTGTGCAACCATTATCATAATAAGTTTTTAGAACATTTTCATTACCCCAAATGTCATTCCTTTTTATGACCAAATAATATTCCTTTGTAGGGACATACCACATTATTTACCCATTCATCAGTTGGTAGACATTTGCGCTTTGTGGCTATTGTGAATAATGCTGCTATGAATACCTGTGTACATGTTTCTGTGTGGACATATGCTTTCATTTCTCTAGGAGTGGAATTACTGTATCATATGGTCAACTCCTTGTTCAACCTGTTGAGGACCTTGCCAGATGAAGTATGTGATTTCTTTATCATTATTTTCTTACTTAATACTAATTATGCACCTTTTCACAAACTGTTAAATGTTCTGTGAACACTTGGCTTTTAATGTTTATGGAATTCCAAATCTTAGTTAATTGATCTCCCTATTAGTAGGCATTTAGGTTATTTCCAATTTTTATATTATAAACAGCATGTTAATATAATATTATAAACAGTGAACACATTTGGAGATCAATCTTTTTGTGCATTTCTACTTGTTTCTGCAGAGCACATTACTCAGACCACTGGATCAAAGCAGACAGGTATTTTCTAAGGCTCTCGGTGCATAATGATAAATTGCCTTCCAAAAAAAAGTTGTATTGGTTTGCATCTTGGCAAGTTGAGTTTGGGAATATCAGTTGAACACCACTTTATTTTTTCATTGTCTCCTGAGGTCACGGAGGCAGGGACCTTGGGCATCTTTGATCCCATACCCAGCTCAACGTGCAACTCACAGTACAAGTTCATGTTACACAAATGAGTGAAAGCAAAGGTTCGTGGGCACTCATTGGTCCGGAGCACCTTGAGGGCGGGTCGAGACCCAGAATCTAGCTTCCAATTGGCTGTTGTGAGACACGCGGAGTGTAGCACTTTCTGATTGGATGCCGGCTTGGCGGGAAGGTTGCGGGGTAGCCAAAGGCGGAGCAGGGTCTGGTTCTGGCGCATGCTCAGACGTGAGGGTGGAATCCCCATGTGCCCTCGGGTGGGGCACCGGACGTTATCCTGCCTATAATGCCGCATCTTGACATCATCATCCTTGTGCTGCTGTCCCCTAACCGGGCGCCTCAAACCTGCTTGCCTACCGCTTCTTATTCAGGCCCTTGCAAATATGGCTGTCTCCAGGAGGCTGGCCCATCATCTACCCAGTCTGCGCCCCATCTCTTGTCCACTCCCTTCCCAGTGCAGAAGGGCCTTTTTCATCCAGCACCCAGGAACCAAGCAGGATTCCATTACTTCTTTAATGAGGAGTGGGTTTCCAGGGACGAGGGAGGGGGGATGGTACCCTCCAGTCTCCAGCCCCAGCTTGGCTGGGGCACAAGCTTGGTTTGGAAAACTTTGGAACAATCAGCTGATTCGTTTCCTAAAGTTGGACTTAGCATTCTTTAGGATCCAGTGTGTATTTACTTCTGGGAAAAACAGGGGTCGGGAGGATTCAGGCATGTCTCTAGATTATCAGTAGAATGCAGCACCTATTCTGCAACTGCCTAGAGTATGTTCAAGCAGACCCTTAACTTCTTAGAGGAGTGTGGGGAACTCGGCCCCTGTGATGGGGTACGCAAGAGAGAGGAAGTGAAACTTTCTTGCAGGCCTCGGGCAGCGTCGGAACAGTGCAATCCCGTCTGCCCTTCCAAAGATGGCTTTGGAAGCAGGGAGGAGGGGGACAGAGGGAGATCAGCAAAGAGCCAGGGAAACTAGGAGAAACACTCCCTTCTCCCCAGGAGAGGGAATCCTTTTGTCTTAGCTTGGACTGCTAGAGCAAAATACCACAGATCAGGGGGCTTAAAAACAGAAGTTGATTTTCTCACAGTTCTGGAAACTAGAATTCCAGGATCGAAGTCCAGGAAGACTGGTTTCTGGTAAGGCCTCTCTTCCCAACTTGCAGAGGGCTGCTTTCGTTGTGCGGGTGCACATGGCGGGGGGAGGAAGAGAGCCACCTCCCTCCCCAGTGCCTCTTCTTCTAAGCACACTAATCCTATCAGATCAGGGCCCCACCCTTGTGACCTCACTCAACCTTAATTACCACTATCTCCAAATACAGTCACATTGAGGGTTAGGGACCCGACATACGAGCTTGGGCGATGGGGACACTTTTCCATCTGTAGCACTCTCCTTCCTCAGGACTCCAACTACACCACAGACATAACTGAATTGTAGCCTGTATTATGTTGTGTTTTTAAGTACTGTTTATTTTTCTGATTATGAAAGTAACACATGCTCAGAATTACAAGTGAAAAATGAAGAAAAAAATCATAAACCTACAACCTAGAACTAACATTATTAATATGTCAGGACTTTTTTTGGTCTTTATATATTATATATATATATTTATATATATATATATATATTCATACATATTTTTTACACAATGGGGGTCCAACAATATTTTTTTTGGTAACAGCTTTCTTGAGATATAATTTGCATACCATACAGTTTGCCCATTTAAAGTATATATTAAAATCCAATGATTTTTAATACAGTCTCAGAGTTGTGCAAATATCAACACAATCAATTTTATAACATTTTTATTACTCCAAAAGAAACTCATACCCTTTAGCTATCAATCTCCAGTCCCTCCCATCTCCCCAGCCCTAGGTGACCTCTAATCTACTTTCTTTCTCTAGATTTGCCAATTCTGGACATTTTGCATAAACAGAATCATACAATATGTGGTCTTTTGTGACTGACTCTTTTCACTTAGTATGTTTTCAAGCTTCATCCATGTTGTAGCATGATACACTCCTCCTGATACATGATACATTCTGAAATACAATTCACATACTGTACAATTCACCTAAAGTATGCAATTCAATTACTTTTAATATATTCACAGTTGTGCAACCATTATCATAATAAGTTTTTAGAACATTTTCATTACCCCAAATGTCATTCCTTTTTATGACCAAATAATATTCCTTTGTAGGGACATACCACATTATTTACCCATTCATCAGTTGGTAGACATTTGCGCTTTGTGGCTATTGTGAATAATGCTGCTATGAATACCTGTGTACATGTTTCTGTGTGGACATATGCTTTCATTTCTCTAGGAGTGGAATTACTGTATCATATGGTCAACTCCTTGTTCAACCTGTTGAGGACCTTGCCAGATGAAGTATGTGATTTCTTTATCATTATTTTCTTACTTAATACTAATTATGCACCTTTTCACAAACTGTTAAATGTTCTGTGAACACTTGGCTTTTAATGTTTATGGAATTCCAAATCTTAGTTAATTGATCTCCCTATTAGTAGGCATTTAGGTTATTTCCAATTTTTATATTATAAACAGCATGTTAATATAATATTATAAACAGTGAACACATTTGGAGATCAATCTTTTTGTGCATTTCTACTTGTTTCTGCAGAGCACATTACTCAGACCACTGGATCAAAGCAGACAGGTATTTTCTAAGGCTCTCGGTGCATAATGATAAATTGCCTTCCAAAAAAAAGTTGTATTGGTTTGCATCTTGGCAAGTTGAGTTTGGGAATGTCAGTTGAACACCACTTTATTTTTTCATTGTCTCCTGAGGTCACGGAGGCAGGGACCTTGGGCATCTTTGATCCCATACCCAGCTCAACGTGCAACTCACAGTACAAGTTCATGTTACACAAATGAGTGAAAGCAAAGGAAAGCCAAGAGTAGTGAGAGGCCATGGAGAGCAGAGGAGGCTACGGGGGTCTCAGCCACTGTGGACGCCAGCTTTGTAGAACTTACCACCCGGTTGACTTGAGGACTCAGTGCAGACTCAAATGGCAGTCAGGCATTGAGAAACCAATAACATTCGACGTGGCAGTTGAAGTGGCCAGTGGGAGAGAAGGACTCCGTAGTCATTTAGGGGTAGACCCCCGTGGGGATGGTCTGAAGGCTGGCAGTAACTGTTCCTTGTACTCCACTCTGTGGCTGTGGTCTTTATGCAAAGTCCGGGAAGAATTCCCTCCACTGAGCTAGCGAAGTCGTTCAACTCTTTGTTCACCTCGATATCCTGAGGAGAAATCCATTAAAAGGCAGTACGTTATCACCTTCTGAGAACCTGACCCCTCGTGCTTACACATACAGTGTCTGGAAGAAACTCCTTAGAGCAGCTTCTCTCTTATGAACGACAATGTCACTGCTCCCCGAGCTATTGAGATAGAGAAGGGGAGGGGCTCAAGGGGCTTCTAGGGGCCTTCTCTGTTTCTTGATTGGGGGCTAGGTACAGATGCATATGCTGTTGGTGAAAATGCACACCCTGAATCCATGTGCACTTTTTAGTGTAAATGTCATTCCTCAATGACAAATGAAAAGCAAGGGGCTTGGGGAAAGAGAGCCAGCACTGACTGAGCCGTTCTCTCCGGGCCTTTTCCACAGTTTCTGTCATCTCATCCCATCTTCATAAGGATGCCAGGTGGTAGGTATTTAGCCCCATTTGACATAAAGACAAGCTGAGCCCTGGGAAGGGCTTTCTGTGAGCTGTAAGGATCCCAGAGCATTTCCCTCAAAGCAGAAAATGAAATCCAGGCTGGTCATATTAGACTAATGGTAACGATTAAGGAGTAGGAAAACAGAACATGGCATCCCCACTGGCACTCTGATTCAGAACCCAGGACCCCACATTAACGGACCTTGGATTTGGCTCCGTGCCTGGCTGGTTCCAAGCCCTGTGGCATCTTCCTTAAACCAAAGGTTTCTGATAATAACCATACATTACGCATCTTCACAGGACTTCATACTTCTTTCCATTGTCTCCGGAATGACGGAATCTGGGGCTGACAGAATTCCCGGAGCAGAAGGAGCATGGCCTGGCTGCTGGCCTCCGGCTCTCGGGCCATCCGAGGCAAGGCCAGGAGAAGGAAACAGTAAGGGCAGTTGGCGTGATTTGTCTCAGCCCGGAGAGACTGGAGCTGTGAGGTCCCCTCTCTGACTCATGCCTGGGTTGAAATAAACCAGAGTTAGAATAAGCAATGATTTATGACTAGACTTTCTTTGAAGAATTCATATTTAGGGATTCTCTCCTTATTGTTTAACTGCTTTAGAAAAGGATGACCTTTTTTTCTATATTAAAAAGGCAAAATTGAATGAAATGGGGTCCTGTCTCCCTCACAACCATACAAGTTAATCTTCAAAACTGTGATCCACCTGCAGGCAGTACAGGCCAGGTCTATGGGGACACCTTACAAGTACCGAACCTACAAACCCAAGCGTCAGTGAACAGTGAGCATGTGCACCTGAGCCACCCATCCTCTCCCAGCCGGTGAAGAACCCAGACAGGGCTTGGAGGTGAGATCCCAGGCAGGAGCTGGACTAGACCCGGAGCAGCACCGTGACCTACATTCAGGCCTGGGGAGAAGCTCAGACTTAGCCATGCGAGGTGTCTGGGTGGGCACTCGAGTTCTCTGATTCCACTTTCTTCCCCTAAATAATACCTCACAGGACTGTTGGGAGGATCAGAGATGAAATGTATGAAACGCTCTTACAGAGAAGTCCAGCAGTTCTAGGACAGACACTGGATTGTCCTGAACAGACTTGAGAATGCCGAAGCAGCCTTCACTTCTCATGGGATTCCTGGACACCTAGAGAAGAGAACTTGGAAAAGCTGAACCCAGGAGGCTGGGAGAAGGAAACGCAAAAGGAAACGAGGACTTCTCATCTCTGACAATGTGGCTCAGGACAGCCCTACTGTCTCAGCTCAGAAGTTGTGTCCGTGGGACAGAATGCTCTGGGAGAGGCTGCAGGGCCAGGGAAGAGAGTGGGGGAAAGGGAGGGGATGGGTGCTGGCTGAGTGCCAGTCCTGCGCCCAAGATTCTGTGCTAGGTGCCAAAGACAGAGACACACAAGATACGCGCCTGCCCTTACAGAGCTCACCTCCTGAGGGGAGGAGAGGAAAAGGAAACGAAAACGCAGTGTGATAGGTACAACGAGTGAGTGTGTACCAGCTCCACCGGAGAGGTAAGGGTGGGGCAGGGGATAAAACACTTGAGCCGAGGTTTACAGGTGAGGTGGGTGGGTCTGGGCATTTCTGCAAGAAAAGCAGCTGCACACAGCAGAGGTGAGAAAGTGCACCATGTGCAAGGAGAATTCTGAGCTTGGGGTGGGCATGATGAATGCCAAGGTGGGGTGGGAAGGTGCTGGGAATCTATGACTAGGCTTGGGTTTATCTAGGAGGGGGCGCTGAAGATTTAAAGCACAGAAGGAAAGGGGCACCTTTCTGGTTTGGAAAGATCACCTGGTAGCAGGTGGGAAGGAAGGGCCAAAGATGAGCAGGTCAACACAAGGACTGTGAAGGAGGGTCTGAGAAGGGGTGGGCAGCCTGTGCTCTCTGCAGGAGGTAAGATGAAGGAGGGAAGGTGTGGGAAAGGGGGGCAAGCCCTGTGCCCCAACTTCTGATTCAGTGAGGATTCCCCCCACCAAAAGGCAATTCTTAGACATAGATGATATGTCCAGGCTGGACTCTCAGAATCTGATATGTCTATAGGACATTTTGGGGACTACCCAGGAGGTGCCTGGAAATGGGGATCCAGAGCTTAGGAGAGAGGTCTGGGTTCCAGCTGGGCGTGTGAGGGGAGTGAGCCCCAGGCTGGGGATGGATGCCGCAGGGGCTCCCCTGTCAGCTGAGGGCACTGAGGGCCAGCAGAACCGGATGCCCCCAGGAGCCAGTGCAACTTTCCTCTGAGCACATGCTGTGGGCACAGTGGTCCTGGCAGACTGCTCTGCCTTCGATGGCATCCTCCCTTCTCTGTCCTCTGCCCTTAGCGCCCCTCAGCCCGCCCTCCCCGTTGGCAGCCCTGGAGGAGGAGGACTCCTCCATGCACACGGGTCCTCAGGTGGGCCTGAGTGGTGGCGAGCAGAACCCCTGGGCTGAGTCTGGGTTCCAGCAAGGCCAGGGGAAGAGCAGGGGAGACAGAGGGGAAGCCGGGGCTTCAGAGAGCCGCACTCCAGGGCGCTGAGAAGGAGGAAGGACAGCACGGAGGGGCGGGGGTGCTGCTGATGGAGGGGGAGGCATCGAAGCAGTGCGTGGCCAGGCCAGCGACGGGGAGGAGGTGGTCACAAGAGGAAGCCAGGAGACCCCTCCCTCATCTGGGCTCTGGAACCTGGGTACCCGGCTGCCCCTAGGGTGAGGAGGTATGCAGGGGAGGGGTCTGTATGGACAGGCATAGGCAGGTCTGTGCTGTGGCCACACTCACAGCAAGAATCCTCAGCGTTTCGTTGGCCCAGAGGCACCGGCGCAGGCTCCGCGCTCCCACCGCAGAGATGCAGCTGCTGCTGCAACAGAAACACGTGCGCCTCTTCTGCACCCAAGCGGCAGCACAGAACCAGACTGCCCCAGGGTCCCAGTAGGCACCGCTGGCGCTCCCACCAGGTCAGGCTTCACGTCCTGCCTCACTCACGTGCTAGGACCCTGGGCAGTGGATGACGACCCCGCTTCATAGGAGGCTCCAGCGCTCAGGAAGATCACCCAGCAAACACGCCTAGAGCGTCGGCCTCCCTACCCCCACCATGGAGACCAGTGGCATCCCTGCCTCCCCCACTCCCAGCTCTGCAGGTGCCCTGTGGGCTCTACCCTCGCTGGCACCTGGTGTTTATTACCATGATGGCTGTCTGTTCTGGAAACTACCCAGCTCGCTCCCCATCTACCTCTGTCCTCCCCTCCACCTGCTGCCCCTGCTCCTTACCTGCTGAGGGCTGGGTGCTGCCTGGGCCTGGACGAGGAGCTCACACATCAGGACCCCGCAGCCCTGTGCAGAGCAGAGCGTATGAACACCCCCCCACCCCCTCACCTGCACCAGACTCTGCGGAAGATGCTTTACATGTACATTTGCAATTCCCAGCCCCCCACCTGTGTGGCAGGAACAAATGCTGGACGCGGGTGAGGGACGGAGCTGGGCGCTGAGCCCCATCGCGGGCAGACTCCAGTGGTCTGGGAATTAACGTGGTGAACAGCAGCAAGATCACGGAGCCCCGGGTCCCTGGGATGGCTCTGGGCTTGGAGGCTGCGGCAGGGGGGGCCACCCGCGCTCCTCGCCTCATACTGAGTTTCTCCAACATGTTGTTGGGCTAAGTGCCTCACCTACTGCAGAGGCCCCAGGATCTCTGAAGCCGTTGGGTGAGAGGTCCTGGGCCCTCAGGAAAGCGTTTGCCTGGAACCAGGAGAGTGACGCCATGCAACTGTGCAGCCAGCCAGGGGCCACAGCCTCAGAGCCAGGAGGCCCAAGGTGCCAAGAGGCGGGCCAGGGAAGGGCAGAGGGTCTGGGGAGGGGTCTTGTGGCTTGATGGTGGTGACCAGTAAGGCCAGATGGCTAGAAGCACAGGGCAGAGGGTGGGTGTGAAGGCAGGAGCCTGCCACACAGCAGAGACGCGAGACAGGGGTCAGGCTGCACACCTGCTTGGGACCTCCGGGGGGCACAGTCGCCAAGGCTCAGCCCCATCACGGGTTGACAGAGGTACACAGAACAACCAGGGGCCTAGTGGGGACTCCAGGGAAGGTGTGTTGGGGGACTGTGATGGGGAGAAGGGCAGGAGTTTATGGGTACACTAGGAAGACAGGCTGACCTGCGCCCTTGTAGGTCAGGACCCCTGGGAAAGCCCCTGTTGGAGATCAAGGCAGCTGCTGCCATTCCCTGAAGAGGACCCCACAAAGGCGGCCGGTACTGGGGACATTGTAGTCACCTGTGTCACCTTGGCAGGGGCCAGAGCCACCCCTTCCTGAGGCCTAGGAACCACAACACTGAGTGTGTGTCACTGAATGGCTTGGTGTGCCCCATAAGCCAAGAGTCTGTGACGTCTGAGGAAGGTGTGTGACATTCAGCTGTGGGCCCTTACATAAGTGATACGGGAGTGAACAAAGTGTACTGGAGTCATTAAATAGGGCCGGGAAAATTCCATTCATCCAAAAAAAATGTTCTTTGAATTCTGCTTAAAAGACCCAAGGCTCTCCACAGGGATCCGGACGATGCTGCGGTTGTGGCTGCATCCAGCCCACCGTCTCCTGGACTTGCCATAGGAATGAGGAGGGAGATGTCTAGGCTGGCATGTGCATACAGTGAGACAACGAATTTGACCGGATCTGTACTGTTGGAACTCAACCAGGAGTTGGGAGGGGTGCAAGTTGTAGCACTCCAAAATCTCATGACTATAGACTATCTATGGTTAAAAGAACATATGGGATGTGAACAGATCCCAGAAATGGGCTGCTTTAATTTGTCTGATGGTTCAAGTACAGTTGGACAATATCCATCATATCATAGATAAATTTTCACAAATGCCTAGGGTGCCTAAATGGTTTTCTTGGCTTCACTGGAGATGGATGGTAATTATAGATTTGCTTTGTTTATGTCACCGTATTCCTATTATGTTAATATGTGTGTGCAAATTAGTTAGTAGTTTAAAACCTATACATACTTAAGGTACTATACAAGAAGATATGTCAAAGAAATAATCAATCCTCCCATGTTTCCTTCATATGCTACATCTATAGCTTTTCTTCTTCCTTCCTAATTACAACCCTTAAATAGAATTCGTGCCTCATATCGAATTTACCGAGTATCATAATTCCTCCAGGTGGTAAAGATACCTCGAGACAAGTGCTGGGCATAGAAGCCACAGGGCATAAATCTGCAAAGAAGTAAAAAGCTAACCTTTGCAAACAATATGGCTTCTCTCTCACTTACCAACTTTACATTTCCCTGTATGGCCCCGGAAGATGACTGGTTAGCCAGAGACGGGTAAGATTCCTCAAGGGAGGAACAACCTAAGACAGGCACAGTCGCAGGGGGGCCATCAGGTGAGAATTTGGGGATCAACAGAGGTGAGGCTCAGAACCTCACCCCCCCTGCTTTGAGAGAAATCTTCTGCATCCGTGGATGTCTTGCTGCCCTTGTCTAGCCTGGATTAATACTTAGTCCATAGGCACACACCTGATCATCTGATCATCTACATTTGCCTTCTTACAGCACTAAACTATGTTTTCTACCTTTATCTTGCATCTACCTACCACTTCAGCATTTTATTAAAAATAAAAATAATAATAATAATAGGAGAAATGTGGGATCAACATATAAATCAAGTACAAAAATCAAATGAATATTCATATTTGACCTGATGGTTTATAGGTCATATTGCATGATCAAAACCGAAAGTTTCTGTGATGAATGCCCTTGTACTGTTCACCATGTAAGAATTTATTCACTCTGTAAGAATTCGTTCACCATGTAAGAACTTGTTCGTTATGCTTCAGAAGATTGGAGACTGACGAGAATTAGGCTTGAGATGGATTAATGATTGTACATTGAGCATTGACCCCCCTATACTGAATTTTATTGTTGTTAACAACCATTTGACCAATAAATATGAGAGATGCCCTCTCAAAAAAAAAAAAAAAAAGACCCAAGGCTCATTCCTGACGAGCTGCAAAGACAGGGAGCTGGACCAGGGGTACCTCACCCCAAAGACAGGCCAGAGGGGTCGGCTGGGCGAGGGACCTCATACCTTCAGGCCCCCGGCAAAGGCTACAGCTCCTGGGCCTCAAAGGTGATTCCAGCTTAAATTCAGTTCAGTGAGTCGTTTTCTGCTAAGGCTGGTCTGAGCATCTCTCCTTCAGAAACACCAAGACAAACCTCACTCATTCTTTGGATTCCTTTAAAAATGATACTAATGGCCGTTGTGTTCCAGGGTCTTTGCTGGGCAAGAGGGTCATTGAGTTGAAACCAATGCGGGCTTGCCCTGCCCTCAAGGAATTCGCTTTTAGTGGGGGAGATACAAATACGAATTAACAGGATGTATTGCAATGGTAGACGACAAACAGGGAGGTGTAGGCGCAGGGTGGGGGCTAACCCCGTCTCAGAAGGGTCAGGAAAGTGAGGACACAGGAGATGACCTTGAAGACTGAGGGGCTCACCACACACGCGTGTACACACAGCGAGCAGACACAGGGAAGAGCAAGGGGGCCCAGGGCTTTGTGGAAATGCACATGGGCCTGGCACTGGGGGCAGGGCCGGGTGGCCTGTGAAATGAGGGGTGCTGGGCACTTGAGCGATGTTGGGTGTCCTCAAATGCTGGGCCAAGGCTCCTGGGCACTGCCCTGTTGATGGCAAGGAGGCAGGGGCTTTAAGAAGTGACAAGGGTGGTTTCCTCAGTGGCAGGTGTAGAGGAAGGCCTGGGGCATGAGTGGGTGGAGATGAGATGCCAGAGGGCCGGTCAGAAGGCTCGTGCCATAGTCTATAGATGAGAGGTGATGAGGCCGGTGCAGCTATGGTAGAAAGGAGGCAGTTGTGGTAGAGAAAGCAAAGAGGGGGCCTCGTGGGGTAAGAAGCCCTAAGAGATCTTTAACGTGTAAATTGGGCAGAAGCCCCATGCACCACTCGGCTTTCCGCTGGGGCAGCCCTCAGCAGGCCTGCCCTGCTCCCCCCGTTCTTGAAAGCTCAGTGAACAAGGCACCTCAGGGCTGTCCCCCGTGTGGGACTGTTGTCCCTTGTTCACCTGGCTGACAGCTCCTCATCCTCCTGACCTGGGTTCACAGCGTCAGGACACCCTCCTGCCCAGCTGGGTTGGGCCGCCCCAGGGCAGGGATGCTCCCGTCCTTCCAGGCTCTGGCCAGGAGACCTCCCCCTGCCTGGCCAGTCTGTCCCGTCAGCCCAGGAGTCCCTCAGGAATCCTCCCTATGGTCGCAGCACCTAGCACAGGCCTCCTAAGGCCGGTTTGAAGAAATGCGCAGAGGAAAACAGGAGCTAACTAGCACTGCGTGGGGCCAGGCTGCTCGGCCAGAACAAGCCAGGCGGGCACTTTCAGAACCTTGGAGAGCTCCCTGCCTGCCGGCGACGCTCCCTCGCTACCTCCCTGACAACAGCGCGGGTCTGACACACGCAGGTTCTCACATCCGGGCTCTTTTCCCCTTCTTCAGGCACCTCCAGGGCTGACAGGAGACGGCGGTGCTCCCCCACTTTGCAGGGGAGTCCCTTCTTTGCTGAACAGCCCGGGGATGAGAAGGTTCTCCCACAGGCATGAATCAGCATCTTGTGATTCCAATAACAGGTCTTCGTGATCCCTGCTGCCAACCTATTAGGCAGGTGCTCCCATCGCCGCAGGTCAGGTGGAGAGACTGGGACCCAAGCTCTTCACCCCTCTGGGGAGTCAGGCCCACCCACAGATCCCCACTTGGGGAAACAAAATGGCCCCGAGTCTGTCCTTTGCCACGCTGAAGACCACCTGCTCCATATTAGCACGGGCTTCTCAAAGCCTCAGCGTCCAGCCCCCTCCAACCTCTCTAGCACTTGCCCTCGCACTGTGCCAGAGGGACATGTATGCTTAGTTTGTACAAAGTCTGAAATGAACTTCTCTTTTAATTTCATTGACTTTCCACAATAATTTTCTTAAAAGGCAAACGGTTTTCTGGCATTTAATTCTAGGGCTGACTCTCTTAGGCCAAGGCTGGTACCATCCCACTTGCTCTAAGCAGCCTGAGACAAAGCGTTGATTTCCAAACTTTCTTGGTCAATCACCTGGGGCACTCCACCCTGCCCCCACCCCCACAAGTCTGATTCAGCAGGTCAGGGAACCAGGAATTCTGTATTCCTAACCCAGGGTCCCAGGTGGTTCTAATAATTGATTGGAACAGTTGAGGACAGGCACATAGTACTTTATGTTCCTGGCAAAGCAGACAAGCCCCATGCAAAGGCCCTGGGGCATGAGAGAAAAATGCTGAGATCAAAGAATCCATCAATGTCTTCCATAGCACTCAGAATAAAATCTTTATGCATTTTGCCATGATTTGTAGCTCTGCAGCCCCCCATTGCCTCTTCACCCCACAACCTAGCCACTGTTCCCTGGCTCACTAGCCCAGTCACACTGGTGTCTGTCAGTCTGGGGAACAGGCCTCCATAGTCACTGTTCCTCTGCCTGAAAGGCTTATGCCGTGGCTGATTCTTTCAGCTGAAATGTCATCTCACAGAGGCCTCCCTGGCCACCCCTCTAAAGCTGGGGGTACCATTCTTCTTCAGAAACTTGCCCAGCTTGTTTCTTTTGTAGCAACAATAATTATGGAGAATTGTCTTGTTAATATGTGTTCCCTGAGGTCAGGGACTTTTTAATTTTCATGGTAAGATCCTTGGTACCTCAATCAGCCCCCAGCACACCCAGCAGTGGGCACTGACCTATCTGTGGAATGGATTAAGAGTTCTGCATGGAAGCAGTGGGAGAGAGGAAGGCCAAGGTGGGATGCGGGGAGCAGGAGCCCGAGCATGGGTGCTCAGAGTGGCCCTGCCGACCCGCGCCCACCCCTGCCCCGGGACAATGGTGCCCTGGCTGGTTGCTACCTGCTTGGTCATTCAGCTGGTTATAGCTCAGGTCCAAAGGTTTCAGCCTGCTCCTCCAGTCTGTTCCCTGTGGCATGAACAGCCTGGGCTCCGCTCGCTCCCAGCCGGTTCTCCGACAGGTCCACAGCTGGGGACCAGCACCACTTCTGAGTCGGTGGGATCTAAAGCCAGGCACCACCCTCCTCCACCTCCAGGCCTGAGGCAGCAGAAGGGGCTCAGTGGGACTGTCCTGAGGTCGCATGGGGACGCTGAGATCCACCAGTCAGGTCCCCTCTGGCCCCAGGCAGCTTCCCGGATGCCCACCCCACTTCATGGGCCCATGGGCTTCTTTGTCAAGAGACTAAGACCATGTGCTTTGTGTTGTGGAGGGTGGAGATGCAGCCCAGCAGCAATAAAACCCACCCACAGAAGCCCTCACTGCACATTTCTGGGGACTGGCAGTGACAGCCCAGGTGGCCGCGTACTGCGCTTACGTGGGCTGGGCACTGCTGAGCGCTTCACATACACCATTTCATTTACTTCTTACCACAAACCAAGGGCTGTGTGGTATTGCAGGGGCCATTTCACAGACTGGAAACAGACTCAGAGAGGTTGAGCTGCTTGCCCAGGTCACTTCTCTCTTCAGTGGCAGAGGTGGGGTCTGGACCAGCCCTGCTGCGCCCCCACCAAGCCCTCCCCATCCCCCACCTCTCTGCATTGCTGAACTCTCCCCCTGCAGAGCCACTGGGAAGCCACCAAGTTGCCATCGGAGGAGGGTGTGGGGGGGGTCCTGAAAGGGGGTGCCGTCCAGCACTGAGTGCACAACAGAGGGTCTAACTCCACCCACCTGCTGCACCCCCAGTAAATCCAGCAGACCCAGCGCAGGGGACGGGAAGACCAGCTGTGGGGGTGTGCACCCCTCATGGGGGGAAGCAGGCCCACCCGCCCATGGACAGCCCTCAGTCCTGCCCACCTGCCCCAGGCTCCACACCTACAACAGATGCTGCTGCTTTTGCTCAGGGCACCTGCCAGGGCCTCCACACTGGCCCCACAGAGCCCGTTGTCTGGAAGGTTCAGCTGCTTGACACAGGGATTGGAGGTCAGTGCAGAGGCCAGAGCCTTGGCCCCCTGGAACAGAGAGGGTCCTGAGAGGCCTGAAAGCCTCAGACACAGCTGGCCACACTGCTGGCCCATGTTTCCAGGGCTCAGCCTGCTGGGTGCCTTCCAGCCAGAAGGCCCTCCCTCCCCTTCCCACAGGCCACAGGGACACCCACTTCTCCTTCTGAGCTCCACCCAGCTCTCGCCTCCGGGACCCTTCCCTGGCCCCCAGCAGGTTAGGGGTCCCCTGCAGGCACCCCAGCCCTTATACTGAACCCCGTTGTAGCCCTGATCCCATCTGTCACGGAGATATGGGGGAGGGGCCATGCCTGGCATAGAGCAAGGTCTGAAAGTGTGTGTGGCTCTGGAAGGAGCCACTGTCGTGGCTGCTGCCTCCCAGGTCGTCTCCCTCCAAGCCTGGCTCCGGGGTCCCTCCAAGGGTCCCTAGGGCCCCAGGCCACAGTGCTGCAGGTTCAGCTCCAGGGCCTTCCCTTGGCGCAGAAAGCAGGAGACAGGCATAACTCTGCGGGCCTGGCAGGATCTCAGGTAGAGGGTGTCCTTGACCTTTATTCCATGCGTGCCTGATAGGGCACAAACGTGGCTCCTTGCCCAGGCACAGCCAGTCGCCTGCTTCCTCCCCTCTGTCTCCAGCCTGTTTCACCTCTAGAGGCATTCCTTCCTGTGCTAATAGGCACTGTTGCCCCCTTACACAGATGAGGGCACTGAGGCTCAGTAAAGCTAAATCTTTCTCCAAAGTCACACAGCTGCAGCAGCGAACCCAGCAGAGCAGGATTAGGACCCTGCCTGTCTGATGCCACGGCGCATGCTGTATCTTTTTTCTGGATTGCAGACTACATATGTTTTGTGAACATTTACCGGGAAGAAACTGAAACAATTCCAAATTCTATTCTACAAACCCATTAGCTTAAGTCTTTTCTGTGGGTCGGGAAAACCCAGCCCTGAACGCCTTTCAGAGTGGGACACCCCTTCTCACGCTGTTTGGAAGGGTTTTTGCATTTTAACATCACTCTGGAAGCATGTTCTAATGGTGGAACTCCTGGTGCCTCCAGGAGCATTGCGGAGAGGGCGCAGGGCCGCCAGCTGCCCTGAAGGTGCTCCCCGGAGGAGTGTGCTGCCTGCTGGCCGGGACAGGGGTGCCCTGCCCACTCGGCCCCAGTCTGCCCCCTCCACCTCTGCCAGAGAAGCCCTGGGGCGAGGAGACAGGCCTGACCATCCCTGCCCGGGGGCACCTTCCGTCTCTAGGTCAGAGCCCAAATCCACATCCGATCCCTTCTCGGCGTCCGGGACTCCTGCAAGACCCCGGCAGCCGCCGCCACCTCCTCCTCCTGGACCTCTTCTTTCTCCCCGGACATCTGGCAGGGCGCCCTCATAGTCGTGACCGGTACGCTGTCGCTGGTACTGAGGCCGCGACCGAGTAGAGCTACACTTGGATTGGGCCCGGGGATGTGGGCGGATCCCCCTCTGCATTGACCAATAAAATGTGGCGTTCAGCGAACAGACGTCCGCTGCAACCAATAGAATCCCGCTCCGGGCAGCCGTTGCCCGGGCAACCTGGTGGTATGGGCTGCCGCAGAAACCCCTACCGGCCGGCGCCTGCGCCTGCTTGCGGCTAACAGGCTGGGAGTGCGCGCCGCGCGCCGGGGCCGCGCTGGGAGCTGTGCGCCAGCGCCTGTTCTCCCTGCCGTCCCAAGTGGTTCGGGCATCGCCTCCGCTTCCACGAACTGGGGAATATGCCTGACTGCAGCCTGTGCTCTGGTTCCCGAGCTTGAGGGCTGGGACCAGCTCTGTTGCGGCGTCCATTCTGTGGGTCCCAGTTCTCTCTTACGCTGTAGTGTCACACGTGCTGCTTCCTGCACCGGGAACACCAGCTCAAAGTCACTTCTTCCTGAAGCTTCCTTGGCCCCTCCTCTGGGCTCCGCCACCCCAGGCTGCCCTCTCAGTGGACACACAGCACCTGTCATCCTCCCACTGGCCCCCCAGGTGGTGAGGCCAGAGGCACAGGCAGAGGCTGCTCCTCTCTGCACGTCCAGGGCCAGGCAGGGGGACTTTAGAGAGGGCGGGAGGCCTAGGGCAGCTGGGGGTTGGAACTGTGCCCCGGATTTGGGGGTGGAGGCTGGATCCTGCCCGGGGAGAAGTGTCCCTTTAATAGCTGCTGGCTGGCCCAGCTGGGACGCCTGTTTGCCTCCTGCTCAGCTGTGGTTGCAGCTGCTCTGCTGACTCATGCGCCCCAGCAGCCAGCAGGAGCTGGAAGCATGGGCTTCCCTGGGGCCGCAGCAGTCTGGGGGCTTCTGGATTACAAAACGGAGAAATATGTGATAACCAGGAACTGGCGGGTGGGTGCCCTGCAGAGGCTGCTGCAGCTTGGGGTCACAGCCTACGTGGTGGGGTAAGAGAGGGGCTTGTGGGCCACACTGGCCGGGGGATCATGGCAGGCTCTGCTGGACTGAGGGCTGAGGGTTGCAGGGGAGGCAAGTCAGGACGAGTAGGAGGGAGGCAGGGGGAAGGATCTCCGTCTGTCTAGAGGCCAGTGGGGTGCACAAGTGAGCTATGTCTTTCACCTCTGTGTGCCCGCTGGCCTCCTTTCCTGTGCCTTGTCTCTAGCCCCATGTTGGGCTCTGGGTACAGGGCAGGATGGGTCCCACTCCTGCCCACCAGGCCCCCAGTGGGGCAGGAGGGGGCCCTTGACGCTTGGGAGGGCTGGAGCACTAGGGCCTTGCTACACCCCACCAGTTCTAGCTGGCGCGGGGAGTCTGTAAGGAGGGAACTGGGGTTGGCAGGGGAGGGGGCAGATGCTGGCTGGTGAGGGAGGTGGCGGCAGGCATCTCCAAATGCATGGGTGCCTGATAGGAGACACCCAGGTGGGTGCTGGCTCTCCAATGCATGGCCAGAGCTTCTGTCCTGTGCAGGGTGTTTGGGGTGAGAAACGAGGCTAGGGGGAGGTGGGAGCCCTGATCTCTAGGCTGGGAGCCGGTAAGGTGTGTGGCGAGAGAGGCTGGGTGGGTGGGGCCCAGCTCTGCCACTGCTCACATGGGCCAGCACACACCACACTGCTCACCACCCCCTCTCCAGGTGGGCGCTCCTTGCCAAAAAAGGCTACCAGGAGCAGGACCTGGACCCCCAGATTTCCGTCATCAGTAAACTCAAAGGGGTTTCCGTGACCCAGATTGAGGAACTGGGGAACCGGCTGTGGGACGTGGCCGACTTCGTGAAGCCTCCACAGGTGGGTGCCTTAGTTCTGGTGCCGGGCACTGACACCCGTGTTACCACCCTTGTGGTGAATGTGTGCAAGAAAGCCATGTGATGCCAGAGGGGGCTGCTGGTGCTCCCAAAGGAAAGTCTTGGACAGGGCTTTGAGGTATGTCTAAGAGTTTTCCAGATGGACCAGGGTCAGGAAGCCAGGCTGGAGGAAATGCATTTACAAAGGCTGCATCTGGAAAAGGGTGGAGCGTCTGGGAACTCAAGGCTTGAACTTGAGGAGCAGGAAGTGCATGGAGGGCCGGGGCCTGGAACTTCGAGCATGCTCCCCTCCTGGACTAGGGTGCTTCTGTCTGGGGCTCCTCTGCCCCCCACACTGCATTTCCTGCCCCTTCTCCCTTCACCCAGATTATCTGCAGCGTCAGTTTCCACCTGTGTCCTGTTGATGCCCAAATTGTAGCCCCAGTGACCACCTGCCCAGACACAGGTGCCTCATGGGTGCACATGTACCATGTCCAAGAGAAATCAACTCTCTCTCTTCCTGTATGGCCCCTTTTCATCTGATGAGGGCCATAATGTCCACCAGTGCTGAAGCTGGACCTGGCCTGACACCCTCCTGTCCCTCCTTCCTGCCCGTTCCATCTCCTAACAGCTTTCACTGTGGCCCGTGCCCAGCCTGGAGGAGGCTGTGGCCTTCTAGTGGGTCCTGGGTGCAGTCCACACAGCAGCCAGGCGGAGCCTTCACATGTGACATCATCAGAGCCTGCCAGCCCAGCATTCCACCTTGGAAGGCTCCCTTTCCGTGACGGTGGACTCCAAGTCCCCCCAGATCCTGGCTGCTGCCATACCCCACTGCCCTCTGCCCAGCCCCCGCCTCCCCTTCCTGGGCACGCGCTCGCCAAACTCACAGAGCTCTGATGCGCAGCACACAGGTGGGTGCCAGCCACCCCTTGCTCAGGCAGAGCTCGCCGCCTGCTCCCCTGGCCCCAGGCTGTGAGTGCAATGAGGGGTCCACCTCCCCACAGCCAGGGAAGACCCCCTAATCCAACTCAGCTCTGGATCTTTAGTGCCTAGAAACAGGAGGCTCTTGGAAAATTCTGGTTGTGCGAATGAGAATGAACATGAGATGTGAATTTGTGTCAAAGAGGCAGGCATGGACTCAGCGACGGCCAGAAACCAGCTAGTTTCCCATCCCTGCCTCAGCTTGCCTCCCTGGAGACGTCTCCCTGGGGCATAGGCCTGGTGACTTAGTGGACCAGGACCCCTTCCCTCACAAGTCATGGTGCCAGCTCCTGGCCTCTCCTGTAGGGAAGCAAGCAGGAACCAACCCTGACATTTGCCTTCTAGGGAGAGAACGTGTTCTTTTTGGTGACCAATTTCCTTGCGACACCAGAACAAGTTCAGGGGAGGTGCCCAGAGGTGAGTCTGCCCAGGAGCTTCCCGCATGACCCTAGTTCCTCCACTAGCCCCGGGTCACCGGCCACGGCCCCCTTCTCCCTCTCAGGCGACTGAGGGCTCAGTATGCGCTGCTGTGTCCCAGACGCTGAGCTAAAATTTCCTCATGGATCATTTCATTTAGTTTTCACAAATGAAATGGTAGGAATCACTTCAAGCTCATTTAGGATGAGAAGACAGAGGCTCAGCAAGGTACAGCCACACGCCCAAGGCCCCCCAGCCTGTGACTGACACGGACTCCAGACCTCCGAGCAGGCTTCTTCCTCATCATCCCACTGTCACGCCCGGGGGTGTCCGGGGCAGTGCTGGCCATGCCTCTGGGCACTCCCCTGGCTGTCAGTGTGACACCCCGAGCTGGGCCCAACTCTCAGGTGGGCTCCAAGCAAGGGGCCAGCTGGCAGGTCACCTCCCCTTCTCTGTGGCAGCCTTTGGCGCGGGCCAGCACAGCCCACTCCCGCTGGTGCTGAGCTCAGGGTCACGTAGCATCTTGGTTTTTACTGCAACTGATCAAGCCGCAGTCCCTCACCCTATTCTTGTCCATTTCTCATCCATGCATATTCTCCCCCCAGATGTCACATTTGCCCCTTGCCTGGGATGCCCCAGGGGTCCAGCATCTGTCACGGGGCACACTCGCTGTTCTCTCCAGCTGTGGATTTTTCCCACCAATTTTTGGAATTGTAATAAAATACACCAAACATACACTTGACCATGTTACCCATTTTTAAGTGTACAGTGGTGACATCTCTCTTCAGTGAAGTCCAATATTTAGCCACTTGCTGGGCTGGAGGGTGGCTGTGGGGTCACCTGTACCCTGAGCCTGGTTGTTGGCCCTACCCCGGTAGCTAGGGACATCACATGTCCTGGTTGGCCCCATCCACAGAAGATGTCCTTTTTCTTCTGAATGCTCATGTCTGTTTAATGTTCAGTTTGTAGACTGTCCTGAAATTTTGCCAGGGTCATGGTTGTGTGTTTTCTGGCATCTTGGTCCGGCTGGGAAGTGATTTCATCAGAGCTGGCAGCAGGCTTCCTGAGACTAGCCAGAGTTCCTGCCAGCTCCTCTTGGGGGTGCTGGTCGTCAGGTCCCTCCGAGCAGGTGCACTGTGCTCCTTGTAGGATGACAGCCTTCAGCAAACACCTGTGCCGCCTGCCCCGAGGCCGACCCTCTGCTGGGCTTGCAGCACACCACACGCCACCCCTACCTCCAGGCACTCCTGCACAGACAGCCCAGCCAAGGCGGCAGGTCCACTGGAGACAGAGGCTGCCGCTGGGCACCCGGGGGCATGCCTGCCAGCCCAGGACCTCAGAAAGGGTTTCCCACAGGACCTGAGGCTCGAGTGGGATCTTGAGGGTGTCAGGACAGAGGGGGCTGTGTGGACAAAGGTCCTGAGCTGTGTGAACCAAGGCACCTCCGGGTCACCTGCTGCTGAGCGGGCTTGGAGCCTAGATTTGGACTGAGGCCGGAAAGAGGGTGGCCCAAGATCCCAGGAGCTGAGTGTGACCGCAGGAGCATGTGGGAGCCACAGATGGGCTTGGGGAGGGGCATTCAGTCGTCTATGCCCTGGGAGGGGCTGCTCCAGCTGCTGGCAGAGGTGAACAAGGTGGAGTGCAGGACACTGTGGGGTCCCAGCTAGCCCAGAGGGCAGGGCCACACTCTGTTCTGTCGTCTGAGTTGGAGCAGAATAGCTGCACCTCAGTGAGTCACTTCTGTCTCCCATCTCGGAGACAGAGCTACTACCCAGTCTCCCTTACAGGTGGGCT